GTCAATAATAGTTATCATGAATTTTCAGTAATGTTTCAATTTAAATGCTCACAGTTTCTTTTGCTTCGGAGTACACTCGTTGATAATACCGAACAAGTCATTGTTCCACAAAGCAATCTTAGCATTATGACTGCCGCAAGTCTATGTTAAGTATGGGAGTTACGATTATCTTAGCGCTAAGATCGCTTTGCTGAGCTAGCCCAGAAGTAGTAAGTATCCAATTGTTTTGTCAATAATATTGACGAGCAGAGACATGAAATTATTTAATGTACAATCATGAATAGTAATAAATGTTATTATTTTTTGTAATAAATCCTTTTGTAATTATCATGAACAGAAATGTTGAATTATGTTGTCTAATCGTGAACAGAATTGAATCATTGTATGTCTAATCATGAGAAGTATTGAATTATTGTATGCCTCATCATGAACAGAAGTATTGAATTATTTTATGTCTAATCATGAATAGAAAGTATTGAATTATTTTATGTCTAATCATGAACAGAAGTTTTGAATTTTTTATGCTTAATCATGAAAAGAAAGTATTGAATCATGTGCTGTGTATTGATTCACAGATAAAATTATTTTATTATTATTGTCTAATCATGGACCAAATCAGTTGAGGATTAATTGTGGACACTAGTGTGAACAGTAGAAATTGTTTATAAGCATGGACAGAATTATAATCTTAAGTTACTTGATGTTTAATCATGAAGATATATGGTATGATTGGTAGCTACAGGAGCAAGACCTGAAGTATCACATTATACTCACAGGCAATGGTAACTGTGACCATGTTCTTAGTGGCCATGTTATGATTTTTGGAAGCATTGAACTCAAATCACCCCTCTTGATACATCGAATATTTAAAATGTAATGGCATTTAAGAGGCGAAAGATGCACCCCAAAGGTTTTCTAAAGAATCCGTTTTAGGAATTAGAATGAAAGCAAGTTTAAAATGTTCACTTCTACTTTTGCTTAGCAATATTGGGAGTTCTGAGTACAAGGTAACGGTGAAATGTTTTGCTATTTATATCTTCAATTGAGGTTGTACAACAGATGGAAACAAAGATACTCGGAGCTGCACCTTTCTTTTTAACTTTCAAACCGTATTTAGGACATATGACTCAAGCTGTCGCATTCTACTTCTGCTAAGTAATGTTACCCGTGAAGAGGCCACACTTGCCGTAAAAGGCGACTATGCTTGTCGTCAGAGGCGACTAACGGGATCGGGTGGTCAGGCTCGCTGACTTGATTGATGCATGTCATCGTGTCCCATTTGAGTAGATCTATGTTCATGATGTCAATCACTGGATTGTCTGGCCCAGACTCGATTATTTATACAGACCGTCATCTTATAGCTGGAATATTGCTGAGTGCGGCGTAAACAACAAACAAATAAAGCTTAGTAGAGTTCTGAAAAAAGGTTTGGGGAAATTGTCTGGCTATTTTTATCCTCAATATAAGGTGTACATCAGTTCAAAAATGAAAGCTGATATGAGCTGTAACTTTCAGTTTTCACACTGATACTCATTCAAATTTTATCAATTTGAGATTATTCAAGATTTCGAATTCTACTCTGCTTAGCAATGTTTGGAGTTCTGAATACAAGTTCTGGTAAAATGTCGGGCTTTTTTCATCCACAATTAAATGTGTACAGCAGTTCGAAAAATAAAAATAACTTGAGCTCTAACTTTCTTTTTACATTGGTACTCGTTCAAACCCTATTAAGCTTGATCTTCAGCTGTTTTTGCTATGCACACATTTGGACAACTAATTCATCTGTGAAGTCATGTAGTCAATAATACAATAATTATTATTAATTGTTTAGTTCGAAAAAGATAGTTTGATACTCATTCAAACCATATTGCGTCCAAATAACTCAATATGTCAAATTTCTTGCTATTTTCATCCTCAATTGAAGGTGTTCGGAAATGAAAGATAATTTAAGCTGTTACTTTGATTACATTGATACTCATTCAAACCGTATCAAATTCATACAACTCAGACATCAATTTCTACTTCTCCACAGCAATTTATTTAGTTCTGAATACATTAGGGTGAAATGTCTGGCTATTAATCTTCTCAATTTAAGGTGTAAAGCAGTTCGAAAAGGATAGATAATTTGAGCTGTAACTTTTATTTTACTGTGATACTCATTCAAAGCTTGATGTTCGGCTGCTTATACAATTTAATGTACACATTTGGAAAATTGATTAGTCTTTAAATCCACAACACAATTATTAATTGTCAGTTCGATAAAAAAGCAAATTTGACCTGTAACTTTCTTTTTCACATAGATATTTATTCAAACCATATCAAGTTGAAATAACTCAAGAATTCGAATTCTACTTCTGCTAAGCAATGTTGATTAATCTGAATAATCTCTAATGGTTAAATGTCAGCCTATTTCATCCTCAGTTAAAAGTGTGTTACAAATCGAAGCAGATACTTGTTATCAATTTTCAGTAATTAATAACTTTTAATGCTCATGGTTTCTTTTGCTTCTGAGTATATTCGTCAATATGAAATACCGAGCAGGTCATTGTTCCACAAAGCGATCTTTGCGTTATGACTGCCGTAAGCCTATGTTAAAGTATGGAAGTTACGATTGTCTTAGCGCTAAGATCGCTTTGTGGAAGTGGGCCCTGAATTGTTTTATGTCAATTCATAATCACAAGCCGAAATATCAAATTACTTAATGTATAATCATGAACGGTAATATGTATTTATTTGATATAACAAATCCTTTTTATAATCATGAACATGAGTTCTGATTTTACTTTTTACAATAGACCAACTTATTATTTTGTTAGATATATTATCATGAACAGATGCATTGAACTGTGTGATTTATAATCATGCACTGTACCGAAGTTATAGGTTAAATCATGTTCATCAGTATTAACTATTTCATGAACAGTTAAATACTTAATATAGAATCATGAACAAAATATTGAAGTAAGTTGATGTATAATCATGAACAGGGCCCCATTCCGCAAAGCGATCTTAGTCCTACGACTGTCGCAAGTCTATGTTAAAGTATGGGAGTTACGACAGTCGTAGCGGTTACGTTTAGATCGTTTTGTGGAGCTGGGCCCACACATTTTAAGTTGTTTATTTCGAATCATGAACAAGTGTGTAAAATTAAAGTTGATGTATAATCATGGATAACAATATTAATTAAATTATTTAAATTATTATGAACAGGGGTGTAATTCGATGCTAATCATTGACCATTTATTGAATTAGTTGATGCAAGATCAACAACAACGTTATTGAACGAGTTAAAGTGTGAGTACTAAGAGCATGGACAGAAGCATTACTTTTTCCTCAAGGCAAAAGTAACAGTGATCAGTCTCTCGGTTAATAATATGTTTTTCAGATAACTCAAAACTCGTGCCGAGAATGGACCCAAAAGGCCTTTAAACGATGCTGAACTTTGTCATTTTCATTCCTTAGTTTATTTCTCATAATGCTCAACAATTAGGAAGGGAAAGAAAATTGAGTTTTGAGCCAACAGCACCTAGATTCCCTGATCTGCCTTGACAAGTGTTTTACTGTGTACACGTATAAAATTGAATAATTCCAAACTTCATCTGGGCCACATTGTCACTGGGTTATGAACACAACTGATATGATCACAGGTACTTTTGCCACAGAGAGTATGTGATGGGGAGAATCATGAACAGCAATGATAAATGTATTAAAAAGATTATGAACAGCAATGATAAATGTATTAAAATTATTATGAACAGCAATGATAAATGTATTAAAATGATTATGAACAGAGGTCATAAAATATTTGATGTATCACGCACGGAAATATTATATTACTGGATGTATTTACACAAAGAAAAAAATATCAACAACTTCAGATACAGTGTCAGTGCCGCAGGGCTGGTACTCTAAGGTGATACATTGCAAGATAGTGCACCACATTAAATACAAATCCTCTGTGAAAACATAATCCCGATGCCATGTGATTAGAAGTGAACAAACCATATAAATAAAATCACATTCATTCTAAGCATGGTTATAAAAATATATCAAAGCAATCACGAAAACTATATTTTCTGTACGAACAAATGATATAAAATCTCATGAAATAAAAGTGGTGTTCATGGATGGCACAATAACACTTCTAAGGTATATGTCAGGTATATGAAAACGGTAAACCATCCAATATATTTGATGAATATCTAAAGTGTGTGTTTGATGTTAATAAAATAGCATTTGTAAAGATACTTGAAAATGATTAAACATCAATAACATTGAAATGTATAATTGAAATGAAAAAGGTAGTGAGATCTGAAGATACTACCAACATAAACATATCTAAACTAAAACGTATATTAAAAGTAAACTGTATGATCCAGAATAATGGAGAGATTCCTTATAATCTTATCATATGATCACAAAATAAAGGCTTTAATTGCATTTGTGCAATCATGAACAGAGATATTGAATCATTTTATAATCACGAACATTTAAGTTTCATGTAAAATCATCGTATTATCATGAACATATAAGTTTCATGTTATCATGAACATAAGTATTACAGTGATGTAATCACGAGGAGAGCTTTTATTAATTAGTTTATCATTACTTGATGCATGATCATGAACAACTAACTTTTTTTTACCTAAAATCATGAATAGATCTAACTTAGTTACTTCATGATAATGAACTAATACTGTATTTAACGTGTAATCATGGATAGAAGATCTAAATTAGCTACTTCGTGATCATGAACAGGACCACCGTTCCACAAAGCGATCTAATGCTACGACTGTGGTAACTTCCATACTTTAACATAGGCTTACGCCAGTCGTAGGGCTGAGGTCGCTTTGTGCAACTGGCCCTGAATGAAAGTGAACAGGACCCCGTACCACAAACCGATCTAAACGTAGCCGCTACGATTGTCGTAACTTCTATACTTTAACATAGACTTACGACAGTCGTAGGACTAAGATCGCTTTCAGTAACTGGACCTTGAAGTATTGAATTATTTGTGTGATGTGTAATCATGAATTAATAGATGAAACTATTTGTGTATAATCATGAAAAGCAATGAAACCAACCTCCTCCACCCCAGCCTAAATCTACTGTTGATTATGTTTTGATTTTTGGAGATGATCAACACACCTGAACACCTGACCTCTACACACGGTACTTTCCAAAATAATTGTTTTATGTAATATTTGCTTTTAAAAATATATAGCTTATCATTTTGGAGAAATAATATCCAGTCACATTTTATTAAATTGTGTTGCATGCCAGGTGATATAAATATGATTGTAAAAAAAAGGTGTTCACCACGGATGTTTTTTGCATTTGTCATGAGTTTTCTTCACAAATACTGTCAGATCTTTCCCATTTCACACACTTTTTATATCATGAATTCTCATCATGGCGAATTGTACACTTTTGATTTTGTGGAACGTAGCGATAATTTCTTGATTTTCTGTACCAACTAAATAATGTGCAAATATTTATTCAGTAAGATTTTGGTATATTGTTAATTTGTGTAAAAGTAATATCTGGGTATATTATTAATATGTGTAAAATTAAGATTTGGGTGTATTGTTAATGTGTGTAAAAGTAAGATTTGGAAATATTGTTAATTTGTGTAAAAGTAAGATCTGGGTACATTGTTAATTTGTGTGAAAGTAAGATTTGGGAATATTGTTAATCTGTGTAAAAGTAAGATCTTGGTATATTGTTAATATGTGTTTATTCGAAATATTTAGGTATGTTTAGGAATTGTTAAATAAACGATAATTACACTGCAGTATGTGGTCGTTATGTTATGTATAAACACGTGAACGTTGAAGAGTTTGGTTAAAGGCAACTTAGATCATGTCTTTCACTTATATCACTGCGTGTCAGCTTGATGTGGGAGGAAAACTCGAAGGAACATAATCTCGGCAGATCGGGCATTAATACTCGAACCCACAATCATGTGTGTCCTCCACGCGGCGGGTGAGAGTGAAAATTTAACGTCGCATCGGCTATATTTCAGCCGTATAGCGACTCACGCGGGGGACCTCAGCTCTGCACAGGGAATTGCGGTGCCTCAGACGACTGGCCAACCCATGATCCCAAGATGACCTTTCGCTTATGAGTGTGTGAGCTACCTATCAAGTAAACCCCGAATCCGTTAAAATATTTTGTAGCAACTAGATTTTCATGAGTATACACGGAACAACATCCTGGGATAATGCTTTTATCCCCTTTTACAACCCTACCGGTCATCTGGTCATTCTGGGCTATAGATCTACACACCCAGTAAGTTCATCAAAACAATATCTGTTGCAGCAAAGGCATTTCTGTTTAAATATAACTGTGCTTTTAACGTCAACATTCCAGAAATTCTCAACTTCCAAATTTGTTTGTAAGTTCCCTTGATAAATTCTGAAAATACCAGTCACCATAACCCGAAAAGCTCTTCCCGCACACGGACATTTCAAACATTGCCCATTAAGTCTTGTAATCCAATCGCTGTACATCAAAAGAGTGAGTATTTCTGTTCCTTCATTTCTGTTATTCGTGGCCATTAGTATCATTCTGGGTCAAGCCTTCTTCTACAAGAATGCGAATGTAGAAGTGTTCTGTACCGGAGAAACTACAACCATCAAAGTCATCCGCATCAACCCCTTGTTTCAATGAAAATCTGAGAACACATAATACATAGGGGTGTGTGGATCACGAAAACAGTGTCTGGGTGTTGTATCAAACTGTCGCCTACATTGGAAGTCACTGTATCGCCTCAAGCAGTCTTTCCCACTGTACACTGTCAAAGGCTTGAAACGGCTTGATACAATTCAATGTGTCTGGAGTCTCGCATTCCTTGATCTTTATTGGGAGAACCGTGTTGCTCTGTTTCTGGTTCAACATCCTGGTGATGGCCGTCTGCATTTCATGATTACACCAGGCGTTGTCAAGGAAGTCGGGACTCAAGATCAGCAGGGCCTTGTAACTGTTCTCAAGCGCATACTCAAAATTATGCAAATGGGATTTGCCAGGAATAGCATCACGGTCATCCACAAATCCCTTGAAACTAAACTCTTGCTCAAGTTTGAGCAGAAGTGAATACAGGACCCAAGGCCTGTCGCCATCGCTGTAGATGATAACAAAGTCATACTTGAACCCGCATTTATTTCTGGCCGTGGGCGCCCTGGTCGACAGAACGAACTGTTGCGAATCCTTCATGACAGAACAGGTTTCCCTCATCCGCTGCGCATAATAACTAGCGCTCGTGGCCTTTCCGAGTCTCAGACATATATCTGAACATATTTCTCCAACAGAAAATGCCTTCTCTGCTATTGCGATATTGATAGTCATATCAGTAAATGCAAGCGGTTCCTTTATAGCGCAGGCCTCTAAAGCCAGCTTAAGTCTCTCTGCGTCGTATTTGTCGAAAGCAAATATTACCCAGAAGGTCATTTCAGAGAGGATGGAGTGAGACTGATCCCGGTCGCCGTTGTGGATGTACTCCTTGCACAGACTGTCAAGAAGGTGTTCCAGACAACCTGTCTTCTTGCTACCTTTGCTGTGAGACTCCACAGAGCGCTTGAAGGCTTCGATGGCGTACCTTAACTCTCCGAAATTTTTCAAGCAGAGTCCGTGGAAATAGTGGATATGTGGAAGTTGACGCCCGTCTAGGGTAAACAGAGCCTGCTGAAAACACTCCAGGGATTTCATGGTGTATTCATTGGCTGAAATACGCAACAATCGGTGTCATTCTATACTTATGTTTAGTGCATACATGTATAGGGGTAACATGAGCATTCAGTCACGTGAGGTGAAATGTGGTTTTACGTCGCGTCCAAAATTATTGCACTCATACAGCGACGGCATGCACGTATTTATGTGTGGCTGCTTGTACTAGTCCAAACTTATGCTGATTTTATAGTGCTATCCAATTGAGATACCTTGCCGCCGTTTAACATGAATACCCTACTCAGACACAGTATACTGTCTCCGAGCCGACCAGTCCTTGTTTTTGCCCCTTAATGCCGAGCGCCAGGCAGGGTGACAAGAAGTACCATCTTTTAACGTATTTTGGTATGACGCGGCTGGGGATCGAACAACCGACTTTCTGCTCTCCGGGCGGGCGCTCTACCACTAGACCACGGAAGCGGTCGCATTAAGTCAGCTTTTGTTCTGTTATGATGGTTTTCTCCTTAATTAAGTCCAGTCTGGGCCGGACACATCAGCGGGGTACGATGACCTGCATTTAGTCGCCTCTTACTAGCTGCGCGCTAGGTTCCAAATTCAAGTCTTATGCCGTCAAGTCAACAAAGCCTCTGCACTGAAAACACAGTTTTTCTTCTGCTTGCCGTAAAAGGCGACTACGCTTTTCGTAAGAGGCGACTAACAAGATCGGGTGGACAGGCTTGCTGACTTGATTGACGCATGTCATCGTATCCCAATATCAAGGGTTGATGCTCATGATGTCAATCACTGGATTGTCTGGTCCAGACCGCTGCCATATAGCTTCAATATTGCTGAGTGCGGCGTTGAACAACAAACAGTGAGTGAGTGAGTGAGTTGGGTTTAACGCCGCTTTTAACAGTATTCCAGTTATATCGCGGCGTGTCAGCTTAATGTGGGAGGAAAGCCCGAAGTAATGCAGGTCTCAGACGTTTACCACTTCGGTGAAACCCACGAGCACGGGTATGGTGCTGACAAACCTAGAAACATAATCGGGGCGAACCGGGATTCGAACCCACAATCATAGGTTTCTGGCGTACCCAAGGGACGCAACTCTGCACAACGAATCGCGGCGCCTAAGACGACTGGGCCCGTGAACAGTCCAAGTTATAACAGGGGGTGTCAGCTTAACGTGAGAGAAAAGCCCAAAGTGATGTTCACTACCTTGGTGAAACACATGATCATGTGCATGGTGCTGACAAGCCAAGACTCATTTTCAGAATAGGACTCAATCCAACGTTCAAATGTTGGCACGTCGAAAGGACATAGGGGAATTACTGCGCTTTAGACGACTGGACCACCCGTACCCCTAGTAAAAAATGCGATAGATGACTAAAATACAATATCGGTACGTACCCTGAGTTTCTTCAGTCTGTTTGTAGTTCATTGCAATTTCACAATACACCATAGCCAGTTCACATGTATAATATGGACACGGGGTGCATTTGATGATGAACAGGTAGTCCTCCACAGCTTTGAGAAGCAGGCCCCGGTCAGGCACAGAGCCGCTGTCTTCCCATGCCCGCTTGTCTGCTAGGTACTGCCTTCTGCGAATGTCTGCTCGCTCGAACCTTGCAAACCAGTTGACCGGAGATGGATCAATGCCGATTGACTGCTCAAGAAGTTCCAATGAGGTATGCATGTCTCCATTCAGATACAAACTCATTGATCTTGCATACATGTTTATGACCTTGGTGCTACTTGGTGCCAAGGTCATTGCTCGTTTGAAGCATTCCAGATGATCTTCATACTCCCAAGAAAGATTGGTGTCTTTTGCTTGTAGCTTTGATTTCAAATTCCACTGACTGTTATCAATGTTTCTGAACTTCTTTGACAAAAAATATCCGAGATGAACCAACGCATGACCTTCCAATAACGCATATTCCTTTTTCCCACGAACGGTTTCGTAGAGACTACAAGTGAGATCCACGGCCTCTTGGTAATATTCTTTAATTGTTTGAGACGTTTGCTCAAGACGATCCCAATTTCGACAAATATTTCTGAGATTTGTTATCATGAGAATCTTCCAGCCACCAAACTCCCTTTCAAAAGGCAGATCCTCAACTAAGGACAGTGCTCTGGAATAGAGTTCATTTGATCTGAAAAACCCGTCGGTGTCGGCAAAGGTGGCGGCACACGTTCCACGTACTGCAAAAGCCTGTTCAGCCAAGCACCGAGCCAGACGTCTTGCCATATCTTCCTCCGTGCCGCCCGCATCATTGGCCTTTTTCAGATGGTCATCGAATTGCCGACCGCTTGGACTTTTTAAAGAGAGGTGTACGTGATGCAAATTTGCCCGCGCGTTAATATTCCCAGGATCTTCGTCTAAAACTCGTTGAAAATAGCCTGAAGCCTCCAGAAACTCTCCTTGGTGAAATTTGAATGCCCCGAGTGTATTTAATGCTGCCAATTTCAAATTCTTAAACTCAGTTTCCTTTAATATGCCTTCAACGATGTTTGTCCGGTATTTAAGGTACTTTTCCTGAGCCCCAATCTTCAGCGTCAGGCTCAGAGTGCCTGGTTGGGTGTCAGGAATCATATCCAAGATGTCAGAAATATGCCTATATGCTTTTGTCACGATTTATCGCTGTCATCTCCTATATGATTAACGCGACTGATTCGGATGTTGTTGACACACTGAACGTGAACAACCTGACAACAATCATATAGTGAGATATATAGGTCGCACCAACGCTTGTATATAATATAGCTAGATTGTGAAGCCAGCTCATCGCATGACGCAACGGGTGTGCAATTACATCTCAAAATACTTGCCTCATCGGGACACATCGATTGTGCGTGTCCTGGGTTGCGCTTACTGATGCAAGGTGAGACATGTGACACTGGTTATTTACGTTGTCATGCTCAGTCAACCGGAACTGGTGTTCCTGGCTGATGAAATTGCGTAACAACTATCTCCTCATCTAAATATCTTTTCATATGCGTCTACCCTTCAATATGTCCTTGTGTCAACCATGCCATCTCCTTCCTACCTACACACCCAACTAGCATTCCCACCCAGCTGCCTCTCCAACCACCCACCAAACATTTTTCATCTTTCAACCTAACCACCCTTCTATCTCTCTGCCTGACCACCCTTCTATCTCTCTGCCTGACCACCCTTCTATCTCTCTGCCTGACCACCCTCCTATCTCTCTGCCTGACCACCCTTCTATCTCTCTGCCTGACCACCCTTCCATCTCCCTACCTGACCACCCTTCTATCTCTCTGCCTGACCACCCTTCTATCTCTCTGCCTGACCACCCTTCTATCTCTCTGCCTGACCACCCTTCTATCTCTCTGCCTGACCACCCTTCTATCTCCCTACCTGACCACCCTTCCATCTCCCTACCTGACCACCCTTCTATCTCCCTACCTGACCACCCTTCCATCTCCCTACCTGACCACCCTTCTATCTCTCTGCCTGACCACCCTTCTATCTCTCTGCCTGACCACCCATCTATCTCCCTGCCTGACCACCCTTCTATCTCTCTGCCTGACCATCCTTCTATCTCTCTGCCTGACCACCCTTCTATCTCCCTGCCTGACCACCCTTCTATCTCTCTGCCTGACCACCCTTCTATCTCTCTGCCTGACCACCCTTCTATCTCTCTGCCTGACCACCCTTCTATCTCTCTGCCTGACCACCCTCCTATCTCTCTGCCTGACCACCCTTCTATCTCTCTGCCTGACCACCCTTCCATCTCCCTACCTGACCACCCTTCTATCTCTCTGCCTGACCACCCTTCTATCTCTCTGCCTGACCACCCTTCTATCTCTCTGCCTGACCACCCTTCTATCTCTCTGCCTGACCATCCTTCTATCTCTCTGCCTGACCACCCTTCTATCTCCCTGCCTGACCACCCTTCTATCTCTCTGCCTGACCACCCTTCTATCTCTCTGCCTGACCACCCTTCTATCTCTCTGCCTGACCACCCTTCTATCTCTCTACCTGACCACCCTTCTATCTCTCTGCCTGACCACCCCTCCATCTCCCTACCTGACCACCCTTCTATCTCCCTGCCTGACCACCCTTCTATCTCTCTGCCTGACCACCCTCCTATCTCTCTGCCTGACCACCCTTCTATCTCTCTGCCTGACCACCCTCCTATCTCTCTACCTGACCACCCTTCTATCTCTCTGCCTGACCACCCTTCTATCTCTCTGCCTGACCACCCTTCTATCTCTCTGCCTGACCACCCTTCTATCTCTCTACCTGACCACCCTTCTATCTCTCTGCCTGACCACCCTTCTATCTCCCTGCCTGACCACCCTTCTATCTCCCTGCCTGACCACCCTTCTATCTCTCTGCCTGACCATCCTTCTATCTCTCTGCCTGACCACCCTTCTATCTCTCTGCCTGACCACCCTTCTATCTCTCTGCCTGACCATCCTTCTATCTCTCTGCCTGACCACCCTTCTATCTCCCTACCTGACCACCCTTCTATCTCCCTGCCTGACCACCCTTCTATCTCTCTGCCTGACCACCCTTCTATCTCTCTGCCTGACTACCCTTCTATCTCTCTGCCTGACCACCCTCCTATCTCCCTGCCTGACCACCCTTCTATCTCTCTGCCTGACCACCCTTCTATCTCCCTGCCTGACCACCCTTCTATGTCCCTGCCTGACCACCCTTCTATCTCTCTACCTGACCACCCTTCTATCTCTCTACATGACCACCCTTCTATCTCTCTACATGACCACCCTCCTATCTCTCTGCCTGACCACCCTCCTATCTCTCTGCCTGACCACCCTCCTATCTCTCTGCCTGACCACCCTCCTATCTCTCTGCCTGACCACCCTTCTATCTCTCTGCCTGACCACCCTTCCATCTCCCTACCTGACCACCCTTCTATCTCTCTGCCTGACCACCCTCCTATCTCTCTGCCTGACCACCCATCTATCTCTCTGCCTGACCACCCTTCTATCTCTCTGCCTGACCACCCTTCTATCTCTCTGCCTGACTACCCTTCTATCTCTCTGCCTGACCACCCTTCTATCTCCCTGCCTGACCACCCTTCTATCTCCCTGCCTGACCACCCTTCTATCTCTCTGCCTGACCACCCTTCTATCTCTCTGCCTGACCACCCTTCTATCTCTCTACCTGACCACCCTTCTATCTCTCTGCCTGACCACCCTTCCATCTCCCTACCTGACCACCCTTCTATCTCTCTGCCTGACCACCCCTCCTATCTCTCTGCCTGACCACCCTTCTATCTCCCTGCCTGACCACCCCTCCATCTCCCTGCCTGACCACCCATCTATCTCTCTGCCTGACCACCCCTCCTATCTCTCTGCCTGACCACCCTTCTATCTCCCTGCCTGACCACCCCTCCATCTCCCTGCCTGACCACCCTTCTATCTCTCTGCCTGACCACCCTTCTATCTCTCTGCCTGACCACCCCTCCATCTCCCTGCCTGACCACCCATCTATCTCTCTGCCTGACCACCCTTCTATCTCTCTGCCTGACCACCCCTCCTATCTCCCTGCCTGACCACCCTTCTATCTCTCTGCCTGACCACCCTTCTATCTCTCTGCCTGACCACCCCTCCTATCTCTCTGCCTGACCACCCTCCTATCTCTCTGCCTGACCATCCTTCTATCTCTCTGCCTGACCACCCCTCCTATCTCTCTGCCTGACCACCCTTCTATCTCTCTGCCTGACCACCCTCCTATCTCTCTGCCTGACCACCCTTCTATCTCTCTGCCTGACCACCCTTCTATCTCTCTGCCTGACCACCCTCCTATCTCTCTGCCTGACCACCCTTCCATCTCCCTACCTGACCATCCTTCTATATCTCTGCCTGACCACCCTCCTATCTCTCTGCCTGACCACCCTTCTATCTCTCTGCCTGACCACCCTTCTATCTCTCTGCCTGACCACCCTCCTATCTCTCTGCCTGACCATCCTTCTATCTCTCTGCCTGACCACCCCTCCTATCTCTCTGCCTGACCACCCTTCTATCTCTCTGCCTGACCACCCTCCTATCTCTCTGCCTGACCACCCTTCTATCTCTCTGCCTGACCACCCCTCCTATCTCTCTGCCTGACCACCCTTCTATCTCTCTGCCTGACCACCCTCCTATCTCTCTACCTGACCACCCTTCTATCTCCCTACCTGACCACCCTTCTATCTCTCTGCCTGACCACCCTTCTATCTCTCTGCCTGACCACCCTTCTATCTCTCTGCCTGACAACCCTTCTATCTCTCTGCCTGACCACCCTCCTATCTCTCTGCCTGACCACCCTTCTATCTCCCTACCTGACCACCCTTCTATCTCTCTGCCTGACCACCCTTCTATCTCTCTGCCTGACCACCCTTCTATCTCTCTGCCTGACAACCCTTCTATCTCTCTGCCTGACCACCCTTCTATCTCCCTGCCTGACCACCCTTCTATCTCCCTGCCTGACCACCCTTCTATCTCTCTGCCTGACCACCCTTCTATCTCTCTGCCTGACCACCCTTCTATCTCTCTGCCTGACCACCCTTCTATCTCTCTGCCTGACCACCCTTCTATCTCCCTGCCTGACCACCCTTCTATCTCCCTGCCTGACCACCCTTCCATCTCCCTACCTGACCACCCTTCTATCTCTCTGCCTGACCACCCTTCCATCTCCCTACCTGACCACCCTTCTATCTCTCTGCCTGACCACCCTTCTATCTCTCTGCCTGACCACCCTCCTATCTCTCTGCCTGACCACCCTTCTATCTCTCTGCCTGACCACCCTTCTATCTCCCTGCCTGACCACCCTTCTATCTCTCTGCCTGACCACCCTTCTATCTCTCTGCCTGACCACCCTTCTATCTCTCTGCCTGACCACCCTTCTATCTCTCTGCCTGACCACCCTTCTATCTCTCTGCCTGACCACCCTTCTATCTCTCTGCCTGACCACCCTTCTATCTCTCTGCCTGACTACCCTTCTATCTCTCTACCTGACCACCCTTCTATCTCTCTGCCTGACCACCCTCCTATCTCTCTGCCTGACCACCCTTCTATCTCTCTGCCTGACTACCCTTCTATCTCTCTGCCTGACCACCCTCCTATCTCTCTGCCTGACCACCCTTCTATCTCTCTACCTGACCACCCTTCTATCTCTCTGCCTGACCACCCTTCTATCTCTCTGCCTGACTACCCTTCCATCTCCCTACCTGACCATCCTTCTATATCTCTGCCTGACCACCCTTCTATCTCCCTGCCTGACCACCCTCCTATCTCTCTGCCTGACCACCCTCCTATCTCTCTGCCTGACTACCCTCCTATCTCTCTGCCTGACTACCCTTCCATCTCCCTACCTGACCATCCTTCTATCTCTCTGCCTGACTACCCTTCTATCTCTCTGCCTGACCACCCTCCTATCTCTCTGCCTGACCACCCTTCTATCTCTCTGCCTGACCACCCTTCTATCTCTCTGCCTGACCACCCTTCCATCTCCCTACCTGACCACCCTTCTATCTCCCTGCCTGACCACCCTTCCATCTCCCTACCTGACCACCCTTCTATCTCCCTGCCTGACCACCCTTCCATCTCCCTACCTGACCACCCTTCTATCTCCCTGCCTGACCACCCTTCCATCTCCCTACCTGACCACCCTTCTATCTCCCTGCCTGACCACCCTTCCATCTCCCTACCTGACCACCCTT